ATATGTCGTCAAGCTCCTACATGATCGGCATTCCTGGCGGCGACCAACATTGGTGCTGCATGCTAGGCTGGAGCTATCCCAGCCTGATTCCCCAGGCCCCGGTTTTCGCTTGCATGGGCTCCGCATTTCCGGGATCTAAACTGCCAATGCTTCCGGTGCAGGATAATGGTATTCAGGAGACCTCTGCAAACAAGGGAACTTTATGCGGGCCTTGAGTCTAATATAAACTCACAGTCATGGTTCTCAGCGCTTGGAAGAAAATACCGTTCAAACACACAAATTCCAAGGCTGATCTCCCAGAGAGAACCAGATGATATCATACCTATCCTATCAATTCCATTCTGCAGGAGTACTGGTTATCAGACTGAATGAAGCAGATGAAGTGAAAGTAAGAGGACCTTTTGAGAACACTTTCAAATATTGGGGCTTTGGAGGTCTATCTTGGTTTGAGTGAGGGCAGTTTTTGACAAATATGATCATGAAAAGGAAGGCTTGTTTGTGATAATGGCTTTTCCTGACACACTACAACTTGCTCTGGGTAAATCTGTCTTGAAATGCTGGGCCGGACGGTGCGTTGACGTGGGAGAGATTTACTTTGGAGGTTGAGCAAACCAAGGTGAACGCCGCTGTGAAGGCGAAAGAAAGGACCGCAAGAGATCTGGGTTGGTGGCATGACAGCCAGTACGTCTAAATTCACTCCTGGCCATCCATTGTGAGAGATCTGTTTGTGAATCAGAAAATGCCTTGCTCCGCATTCAACAACCCCCCTCCTCCGGGGACATAGTTTTAAAATTGGAATACTGGATACCCGTCAATGCCATACTAGAGAAGCATCGTGAATGGCGAAATACAAAAAATGAAGGTCGATGACCATGGATGGGGACAAGCACAAATTCGCTCTCCTACAAGCTGAATATTTAGGATGGAAGAGCCATGAAATATGGCTCCCATCAGATAGTGCAGTTTGCTATTTTGTGGCTTCTTTACAGAGGAAACCCACGGAGTGGAGTAGCTTTTATGGTGATGAGCCGGCCTGAAACTTGCAGAAGAGTCCCTTTAACCAGCAGCAGAGTGACACTGGGTCCTTTATGATCTCTAGGACGAGACATCAAACAGAAATAAGAATTATTGGTGAGAAGGGTGGTGATAATTGACATGGTCGTCCGCCCACTAAATACTCTACTACATCATACAAGATCTGCACCGGGCTCGTAGCGCTGCCTATCCCGCCTACCCCGCGGATCCTATCTTAAATATCCCCCCAGGGACAATCCAACAGAGAATCTACGGCAGCGTGGAAAGAAGGAGGCCTCGTTGTCTGAACCATTTATCTCAAGGTAAGGAGACAGATCACAAATTCTTCTGCGAATGCCACGTGCTATCTGCTGTTTCATACGTAGAAATTGCACTGGAGTTCCATGTCTCTTCTCGGCAGCCCGAGCTTCGGAGAATCATAATTACTACATAGCCGACACCTGTCCAACGTCCCGATTAACTTAGATAACAGGTCCACAGCATACGGTATGTACCTACTTGTGTCGGAGTCCCCCGCATGTCTCCCTCCACTCCAGATGATAGCAATTTGATCATAGAATATCAGTTCTCAGTGGGATTCTTGCTCCTACCGCCCGCATCCTGCAACCAGATGCTGATGTTATACACCCCTCCGATCAGCTCTCCATGCATCCGTCCCGCCCCTCACAGTAATTGCTAGTAAACACTCTATTGTTCAATTATGGAGCAAAGCTTTACATCTGCAAGTTCTGTCAATAGCAAACTTTGTGCCTGTGAGCTTGGCAAAAGAGTGGGAGCGCTGAGAAACCGAACTAGTTAAGAACATCGGTTCTCGGCGGGGTCCTTACTTCTATGGCCTCATCCACAACTAATTGCTAATATCATATACCACCCCCAACCGGCTTTCCCCGCATAGCCCCCGCTCTCCTCGCAGGAATTGCAAGTAAACACTGTATTTTGCCCAGTTATGGAGCAAGATTTTACGTCTTGGGGTGCGCTCGGGCAGTTGCAGAATGGATACAGTTGTGTTGGTTTGTGCTCCAGCGAGCGCTAGTGCTCTGATACACATGCAATCGTGTCGGGGAATGGGAATTTGCTGAAGGCTATATAAATGAGTATAGCAATGGAGTCCCGCCTAACATACGATGGTTTACCAATCCATTCTCTCTTTATTTTGAACACGAAATTTTGTAACCTAAGTTTGTACGTGCGAAGCAGTTGTATCAGCAGTTCGTGTACAATCCTACATCGACAATGTCCCGAAAAATAAAAGTCGCAGCGGCCCAAGTTGGTTCAGTCCACATCGACTCTGACCGCAAAGAAACACTCCAACGACTCATCGCCCTCATGAAAACTGCCGCATCATCCGGCGCACAACTCCTCGTCTACCCAGAAACTGCCTTCACGACCTTTTTCCCGCGCCACCTAATGAGCCAGGCGGAGGTGGAGAGATTCTTCGAGAAGGGTGATGACATAACCCAGAGCGAGAATGTCAAGGAGTTCTTTGACGCAGCACCTCACTGGGCATAGATGTCTGCATTGGATATGGGGAACTTACTAGTGCCGGAGAAAACTATAACACATGCGTCTACTATTCAGGGAAGCAAGGGAAAGTCCTCAGCAAGTACCGCAAAATCCACCTTCCCGGCACGAGTGAACCGTACGAGAACCCCAACGCAATCAACCAGTTGGAAAAAAGATACTTCAGACCGGGGAATCTGGGCTTCATGGCGTTCCGAGTCCCAGATCTTGTCCCGGATGCACTCAAAAAGAGTGACACGACCGCAACGACGATGACAAAAACAGACATCGCCGGCAAAGGTGACCCAATTGTCGGAATGATCATATGCAATGATCGCCGCTGGCCCGAGTCCTGGCGCGCGTACGGGCTGCAAGGAGTAGAACTTGTGCTGTGCGGGTACAACACGCCCAGTTTCGCACCAGACCTATACGGTGACCCAGAAATGGATCGCGAAGCGGCGGAGCGGAAGGCTTATTTCTATCATAAACTCGTCATGGAGTATAATAGTTATGCCAATAGCTGCTATTCTATTTCGGCCGCACGTGCAGGACTGGACGATGGGAAGTATGGGCTTATTGGGGGTTCGGCGATTGTCGATCCGATGGGACAGACGATTGCGGAAGCGAAGGGGACGGGGGACGAGGTTGTTGTGGCGGAAATTGATCTCGCGATGTGTCGGTATGGGAAGAAGGCGGTGAGTGATTTTCTTTTTTTCTTTTTTTCTTTTTTTCTTATGATTTTGGGTCTTCCTCGGTTACCCCCCTTCCTAATAATACTTATCCGATGGGAGGAAATAGTGTGCTAATGTGCTGGGCTGTACAATTGTAGTCGTTTGATTTCGACCGACATCGAAGGATCGAAGCGTATGGGATCCTCTCATCGCAGACGGGTGTTGTAGAACCTCCTCTTTTATGAGGTGGTAGCGTTACATAACTAATTACTTGTCATTCCAATGAGCAAAGTGTCGGTTGTTCTGAGATGGTCCTCTCGATATCCTAGATAGATTTTGATGTTCAAGATCCTACCCTACCCCGAACTTAACTCCCCAACAAACGCTCTAGCCCGCCTAGATTCCTTCAAGCGTTACCTAAAGTGTTGTAGAGCACAATGAATATTCGTTAAACGACTCTAAGATTTCCATGGAATGCCCTCAGTGCTTCCTCAATCCTAGCCAAAGCATTTGAACCAAGCAAGAGGCTCATGTCTTCATTAATAATATTGGAGTGGACAGGCAGGCATGTGCAGCGTAGTTTAAGCCATTCGCACAACATGTATCTCCGTACTTTTTGACCTATCCTGTCAAAAATGCTTGTTGAGAACAAGGTCGATGGGGTCTTCAATCCGTACGCTGTACTCCGTACTCTCTGAAGGCTAGCTTGGTACGTCGCACTTATTGACCCCCGATCAAGCAAATGCTGCTTTCCTGGTTCTCGAAAATAGGGTGCCTGCAGGTACGCGGACATTTCTCAGCGTTAGTGAGAGCGACTGCACGGCCCGTTAGCGGTGGTTTGATTTCCCCCACGGGACGAATCGCGTGACATGCAAAGAGGGATGATTTGCGGACAGCAAAACACGTTCAAGAGGGAAATCCGGACGTTCAAAACACCTCTATGCAGAGTAATTGGTTTACGCAGCGTGGTTGGACCAGCGGCGTCAGCTTACGCAGTAGTATGAGGAATGGGTTGTACAGCTGTCTCCAGTCTCCACGATCCAGCCAGTGGAACCTGTGTTAGCTAGCCCGTGACACGGTTCCCGTGCCAATAATAATAATTCCAACGATGCAGACGCATGCGTCCCCAAGTGGCCCCCGATCCCATCCTGGCGATGTTGCTGTGCTGTGCTGGTTGTTGACATGGTGAAGTTGTTGGGCAGCAAACGGAAACTCTTCGCGCTCAACGATTGGCGGCGATGACGTCGCAGCGCCAAGTCTCGCCCAACCAACCAGCGCAGGTTGCCGTCAGCCGTTTCCGTCCTCTGGAGAGCGGAAGTACCGCGCCACCGTTTTTGTGCGGTGAGGTACGGAGTATAATAATACATGTACAGGAACATCCCGACTTCCCAATACCCACGGCAAACCTGATCTCTTCAATCTCATCACCAACCCTCTTCCCTCCCCATCCCTTCTCTCGACTCCTATCATCTCTTTTCTTTTCTCTTTTCTTCCTTCTTAGGATTCGCTCTTGTTCACAAGCCTGCTATGTTTATGCACTTGGCAGATCATATTGGCTTCATTGTCGTTGACATCCGTTTACAAGGCTTAGAGAGTTGATCTAGCAATCGTTGACACAAGCACAACAAGTAGAGTGGGCAGTCAGTCTGCCAAGGTTATAGGGAACTGTGCTTTAGGATTGACTACCTGCATCTCTGTGTTTGCGTTGACGGTTTACCTCCAACCTCTATCCACCAAGACCACTCACTATCTCCCATTACTCTCTAGCCCTTGCGAAGGTGATGAACCGCGGCGATGCCTCCCCAGACTTTTCGATTCAACTCTACGATGAGAAATACGAACGTCCAGTTACAGGATGAGAAGGCCGCTCCCGTAGTTTCGGCTGGAATTTTCGACCCGCCGACAAATCCCGTTTTCATCGCTCCGCAGCGAAAAACCCAAAGACCATCTATCCGCCCTCTCCAAACCACACCAAGAAGAAATCCTCCAAAAGGAAACGCGGAAATGCGCTCCAGTTCATCGACAAGACCGGAAGTTTCTGTTCCTCTTCATGTTTCGAACTTGTTAGAAGCGACGGCAATTCCGGTGCCGCGGACTTGGGCTGGTCGGAAACAGCGTCGTTTGTTGGACTATAACAATGCAGAATATCTGGGTGGCTTGTTTGCGGAGGGTATAGCAGGAAACGAGTCTGGCAGAATGGTTCGAGCATCAAGAAAATCCTCTCTCCACGTTCTTTTGAGCCCTCCAAACGAATTGGCGGATGACGAGAGCAACCTCCCGGCCGGATCAGAGACTCCGGATTCAGTAGAATCCTTATCGCTGGACTCTGTTCCTTCTTTAGATAATGATGATGATGTTCCCACCCCATTCAGTGACCCGGCAACTCCATATTTTCCCACTCAACGATTGCCGTTTGTTCGGAAACAGCGTCTGTTCTCGCCCTGTGAAGCCTGCCCTCAGGACCACCCACTCCTTTCTTCGTCTATACCAGATAATCACATACACATCGATGAGACTCCCACAAAGCTACCAGCATATGGCTCAAACTCCTTCCGCTCTCTTCCAAAACTTGGAGCAACAGTCAAGTCAAACCTCACAGCCTCACTTCGAGCACTCAGATCCGCCGCCCAAAGCGTCTCGAATTTCACAGCCCCCTCAGTCCGTTCCGAAGATTTTCTGACGCGATCCTTCTTCTCCTTTTCTCCCGAGCTAACCGACGATAAACATCCTGTTCCAATGAAGAACCCCCCTTCACCGGCACTCCGTCGCTATTTAAACCCCTTGACCATCTCCGCAGCTGATATTCACATCTACAGCGAATCCCCGCGAGGAACTCCCGTCCAACCGCTCAGATGCACAGCCTCCATTCAAATGCAGACATACAGCTCTCCAGTGGTCAATAAAGTGCGCAGAAATCGCCCGTTTCTTAATCCGACAGGCGCAGATGGCTCGCACGCTGAGAATAGCGATGAATACAACGACTCTGACTACCAAGACGAGGAAGGCGAAGAAGACCCTCCACAATCCCCGGCTCACCGCCAGCGCGAGCCCAGAGAGAACGGCGATTTCCTCCGCATGGTCGTCTTAGAAATGAACATGCGGCGTCGTGGTAAACTTCGAAGTGATATCCCCGGTCGAGCCAAAGTCTGGCTTCCGCCGAGGAAGACGGTGGTGTCGTCATCGCCATCATCATCTGCTGTGACTGTTTATATGAGTGCAGGTGGTGGTGGTGGTGGTGGATGCGCTGGCTGCAAGATTCCACGAAGGTGGATTGCAGTATCTGCAGATGAATTATGTTGATTTTCTCTTCTCCTCTTCCCTTACTTTTGTATCCTCGTTCGCTTGACTGGCCATACGCCGCGCAGCCCATGCGCATTTTCCTTTCCCTTGTTTTCCTTTAACTCATTTTTCACTTTTACCTTGACGTTTTCATATGTCGAGCGGGTTGGCGAATACTACAAGGCTGGATTTTTTTATATACATTTCTTTGGGTTATAGTGGGTGTTCAAGAGGGTTTGGTTTTGGGGTTTTTTTCTGTGGTGATAGATAGGACATGCTATTTTAGTATTTTAGCGATTTTTTCATGAAACGTGGAGGTTAAAGGCACCGCGCGGAACAACTCTATTTACATAGACAAGCTTACAATCTGACTTATCTTTGTGAGTCCCTTATTTTACTGAGGTGTTTCCTTGGACGGTTGAAAACAGGGATGGCCATAAGGTGTCTGGGAAAGAAAAAAGAAAAAAGAAAAATTGAAATAATTTGCGGAGCGAAGCGAAGCAAATATATGATGAAAACCCTGGTCATTAAAAGTGGAGAATTTCCTTTTTGGGGTTCTTGGCGCGAATACAGCCCACTGATTGGTGTAGAATTAAGCGAAGCGCAATCCCGTGACATTGCACTATCATTCATGGATATTATCTACTCTGTACAGATTCTTGAATAATAGATTATGCATCTTATCAACTATCTACTCTGTACAGATTCTTGAATAGATAATGCATCTGATCAACCATCTCTCATAGATTCTCAAGAATGAATAATGTGTCAAAAGTCTGTATTCACTGCTTATAAAATCAGTCTCTTAATTAATTTATTTCTTTACAGTGTTCTACTACTTCTACAGCTGTCTGTCTTTAATATCACACTCAGAGAACTTAGATATTATAATCTTCTCTCATTACATCTTTTCTATCACTGATTATCTCTTTACACTGTGTAGAACTGTAAATGAATATATATAGTAAAATCAGATTCTTCTACAGTGTTATATCTCTGACTATATTAAAACTCTACTGCAGTTTCACACAGCTTATTACTTTTATATAAATGATTTCATTCATTTCACAGGTTATTTGAATCAGTTTTCAATCACTCTATGATATTATTCAGATATATCATAGAAAGATTTAATTAATGAATATATAATATAGCAGAACTGAAGTAGTGACTAGTTAGCAGTGTCTAGACTAACTATGTAATCATGTCTGAGATCAGAATTAAACTTTACAGTTATTATATTGCCTAAAAGCATTACTTCTGATCATGGTTTGTATTCATCACATTGATTTCAAATCATATTATTTCAAATATTAAAGATTTCAAATTCACTTTTCAAATAAAAATCTAGTTCTGAATAAAGAATATGTTTAAATTCTTAGTTACATTTTCATTCTGATCTCATTATTGAGAATGATATTAAATGAAATTATGAAATTACTTCTCACTTACATAATATCATAACATAGTACTCATTTGTTGAAAATTTAATAGAGAGTATTATTAAATATTATTACTTTTCTAAACACAGATCATAATTTATATAATTTTAATTATAAAAAAAATATAAAATACAAAAAAAAAAACAAAAAATAAAAAACAAAATAAAACAAAAACAAGAAAAAATCAGAATGAATGAAAAAAAAAAGAAAAGAAAAAGAAAAAAACAAAAAATAAAAACAAAAAAAATCAAGATTGCAGAGCTGTAGTACTCTTAAAATACTTACTTCTCAGAGTCTTTGCAATGTTCATTATTAACTGTGTATCTCTCACAGTGAGAATAACACAGCTGTAATAAGTTATTATCTTAATATCATCTAATAAATAATCAGTATATATCTGTATAAATGTGAATATTTAGAAAACATACACTTAAAAAGTGTGGCCAGAGTGAACTCTGCTGTCACTTGAATAGTATTAAGAATAGAACACTGAAATCAATGATTCTTCTCATTAATTTCACAGATAAGATGAGTGAAGATAATCTTGAGAAATATAAGATTCTCTGACTTCTGATAAAAATGAATCTTACAGAGAGACTCTATTTTCATAATATCAGAGACTGAGTATTATTAAAAAGTGTTACTTTCATGCAATACATATGCACTTACTGTGATAATTCACTCTCTACACATATAACTGAGAATTGCAGCTTTTTCATGCTGCACAGCTCTCTCTGAGATACTGACACTGGTTTACAACTCACACAGTCTCTCAGTTCAGTACACACTGTGTATATACAGCTCTGTGTACTGAGACTGTGTTAGTCATTATAATCTGATGTAATACTCACTTTTCACAGGCCATGTTTCATTTAGAGAGAGAAAGAAGAAGACACAACTGTGATTTTATTAAGAGAGAATGAATAATTAGTAATATTAAATATAATTTAATTCTTCTGTATTTAAAATTTAATTAGTCTATACTCTTTAATTTAAGAGTTTCTAGAAGTGTTTTAATAGTTTTTATACTAGCTTGAATTTAGTGATGAGTTGAAGAAGAAGAGAAAAGAGAGAAGAAAGAAATAAGAATAACTTATCTTTATAATATAAAAACAGAGAATTACTGCAATTATTCTTTCTAGTAACAAAGATCTGTTTTCTGCATGTATCTCTGATATAGATTATATGATAACTGTATACAAAGAATATCAATACTGCATGCATTGAATGAAAATGATATTACTATGCAATACTATAGCTGTTTCTGTATATCTCTGAAAGCTGTTAATATTTTCTTTATCTCTTTATATTTGATAAGTCAGTAATATATTTCAATGCACTCTTTCTTTCATCATCATCATTATCATCACTATCACTATTATTATTATCATCATTATCATCATCACTATTATTATCATTACTATTATTATTATCATTATCATCATCATTATTATTATTATTATTATATTATTTCTAATCATCTCTTCTGCCTTTATCTCTCTTTAATACTCACTGAAATCAATCATATCATCTCTCTTCAAATATTCTGCGATTCTGCAGATCACTAAGACGCGTGAGCACTGTCATAGATTGAAGAGAGAGAAGAAAAAGATATTCAAATAAGAAGAGACTGATTATAAGACATGTTATAATGTCTTGAAGAGACTCTGTAAAAGAGTAGAATGATAATAATTTTAAGTAACACTTCTGATAGATTTAGACTGAACTAAGTATAGAAATAATGCAGATAACATCACTCATGAGAGATTAAAGAAGAAGACAGTGAAGAGTCTTATACAGTAGTGATAAGACCAGGAGAAGTTCTGAGAATAATTTGAGTTCAAGATGAAGAGAGAAAGAGAGAAGAAGAGTGTTACTATAAATAAACAGTAGTAGAAGAAGATTAAGAGAATGTTAAAATAGAAGATAAAGAAGTCAAAACTAATAAGTTTTTTATTTATTAAGAGATAATGATTTTTGATAATACTTCTGTTCTCTAATTAATTAGCAGAAGCTGATAAAGAAGAAGGAAATTGAGGTCTTATTCAGGTCTTAAATGCGCTTCATAATTCAGAATATTGAGAAGACAGCCCTGCTTTCTGAGTATGTTAATCTGCTTATCACTGAGATGAAACCTGAGACAGTAGATCAGAAAATGCAGGATTTTGAGATGCAGGTTGACCTGAGTGAGAGAGAGTAGCAAGAACCCTTCTCTGAGAAGGCAGTGAAGAGAGATTTTGAGATAATTATTACCTCAGATGAGAAGAAGGAGAAGAAGAAGAAGAAGAAGAAGAAGAAGAATGAGAAGTGAATTATAAAGAATAATAAGAAGAATGAGAAAGAGAAGAAGTAGATTTTTTTCTTTTTATATTAGTTAGTTATAAGTTTAAGTTTTTAATTATTAATAATTAAAATTAATTTTAAGTTTTCAAAAATTATTGTACAAGTTGTAATCAAGTCAGGAATGATATATATATATATATATATTTAACTATCATGATTCACAAATCACTATAATGTATAAGTATCAACATTTTTTCAACATTAATATTCATAATATTAATATATTTTTAATGATATCATCTGATAATATAATTTGATAACACTCTCTTTCACAATATTAATATATTTTAAGAAATATGATAGAAATTAATCAAGATTATTTATTTACTTTTATACATCAATAATATTCAATCTGAGTTAGTACTAAAATTATAACTAAGCTAAGAAACAAGATTATTTTCTCTTATATTAATTCTTCTTATACACATCAGTGATCAGTTATTGAAAATAAATTGTTATCTTTCTTAAATTATTATCATATCTTCTGAATTCACTTCTTTCACTTCTTTTACTTCTATTGAAGATTTATAAACTCTTTAAGAAATCACTGTGAATCACAAAGTCTATATTATTTACAATTCAACACAGAATGCTCTCTTTCAATTATAATAAATAATCACTTCATTCTTCACATCTGATTTCAGGTCATGAAATTTATGAAAAACTCAACATAAATATCAAGATAATCTATGAAATAATTATCAACAGATTATATTGTAGATTACTGAAGAGTCATCTCTCTGCTACAATTACTGTAACTTTATTTAGAAACATTCATTATAAACTGATCATAACTCTGAAGAAATTTTCTGACATCTGAAGTCATCAGAATATAGATAATAAAAGAAAAATAATCAGAAAATTACTACTGAGCTGATAAGTTACTCTATCAGATAATGATTTTTAATAATACTAACTTTCTAATTTGAAGAAAATTATGTGAAAACAATTATATATCAGTACTCTGATTTCATAACTCTTATCTGATAACTTCTGTAAACAATTACTTCATATATATATATCTCTGAATCTTTCTCTTCAATCAATTGAAAACCCTGAATTCTGAATACTTCTTCAAATACTTAATTCAAATCTTTATATTTCACATTGATTCTGTCTTCAGTTCAATCTTGAGATATACTACAAAGTTAATATACAACATCTAGAATCAGAGTTGAAGAATCATTGAAGAGTGTCTCTTACAGTGAATGCATAAACTAGTACAAACAATCTTGCATTTATGACAGTTATATGTTATTATATTGATGAGAACTGAACTTATCAAGAGATATTAATTAGATTTGAATTATTGATCAGTAGTCATACTGAGAATTATATGACAGAGATATTAATAACTGTGATTAAAAATAACTATTGAAATATTAGTCTCAGTCTTCTTATAATTATAACTGATAATGCTGCAAATAACTACACTATGATGAAGAGCTTGAAGCAAAAATTGACTTTGTATTTCTGAAATAGTAAACAAGGTTATATTCTCTACATTGCTCATATGGTTCAACTTATGATGTAAACACTGATAAAGAATCTTAACATTGAGATGAAGAATAATAAGATGACTGGTTCTTGAGATAAGAATGAGATGAAAGTGATTACTCAAGTAACTTTTACATCTACTTTGCAAAAGATAATGTTTTTTAACAACACTTTTTAATATTGCTTTTTGATAATGCTTTTTAGTAACACTACTGTTAATTTTGAATAGATTGACTAATAATTTAAATATCACAGATTTGAAACATTACTAATGTGATTTGTACCTTCTCTAAACAATAACAATGATTTTATAATATTCAATAAATAAATAAATCAGTCACATCACTGAATATGATACAGAATGTTAAAATACAGTGAAGTTTAATATATAAGATAGCTGTTCAGACTCTTCAATTGTATCAGATAATTGATTATTAAGTGCAACACTCTGATTGAGAAAAGATTCAGATATTGAAACTTTCTGATATGAAGTGAACTCAGTTGAAATATGTGATTGATTTACTGTTTCAGTTTTATAAGATAATAAAGACAGTCTCAATCACTTGTACATCAATGCTGCAGTCAGCCTGGTGAATATATAACAGTTTATTTACTCATCTTGAGAAGTAGTTGAATCACTCAAAAAGAAATTCAGTCTGAGATAATACTATAGTGCAGGCTATTATTACTGCAAGGGATAAACTAGCATATTATTACAGTAAAACTGAACAATCTTTTACAGAGTACTATACTGTAGCAGCTCTACTAGATCCCTCTCATTAAGTTAATATCTACACTTCTCAAGATTGAACAGAGGAGAAATGAGACTTGTATGTTAAATTAGTCTGAGACTACTACAATGCTAACTATCAGAGATTTGAATGAGTAGATGTTCAAGATATGAAGACAGTGAAATACAATTCCCTAGTAAGTAATGATCTTTAATAACACTTCATATCTCATAGAACTATAATACTAACTTTGAAACAGAACTTACATATATTGATTGCAACTGAAAATCAGGTAAAACTACATGCTTATAAAACTGAATTTAACTGCTATCTTCAAGATGATCTGACAAATTTACACATCAAATCAATTCTAGAGTTATGAAAAATTGTTGAGAGTATATATTCAACTGTTGCACTGATGACATGTGATATTCTGACAATTTCATTGACAGAGGTGAAAATGAAGTGAAAGTTTAACTCAAGTCAAGATATTTATCATTATCACTGAAGACAATTACAAGGAGAAACAATCAAGAAACTCATGATTATAAAACATGAAATTATCAGATGGTTTAATACCTCTGATCACAGTATATCAGAGAAGTGTAGTTTTCATGAGAAAGTGAAGAATAAACTTGCACAAGAATGTATTTAGTTGTTTCATGAGTGTTATCAATAATTGTTACCAAATTCTGATTATATAAGTAATCACTGAATGAACTGAATGAGACTGATTTTAATCTTCAGTCTCAGTCTCATTCTGATTTTAGAAGAATGATCATCTTTCACAGTTTATTCTAAGAAATTACTCTCATTTCACTGTTCTTGAATTAAATCTGGTTATTTTTCACATCATTTCTCTCAGAAATGATTCATTTTCAGATTTTTTTAAGGCTTGGTCCTGATGAGACTCATGTCAAGAAATGTATGAGATCAGACCAAATAGAACTAAATGTGAAATTCATGGTCCCGCCGGCCAGTCTAGCAGTGTCATGTAAAGATAGTTGTTTTAAGAAGTTATATAAGTGAGCTTGACTATCTTGCTTGAATAGTGAGCTTGTAGACTACAAAGTTATTGTGAGAATATCACAGATATAATACTTAGTATACTAAGAAGATTGTATGAGACATGCAGTAACTCTTATATATCTTTCAGTAGAAGTAAAATGAATCACTGACTTCTTTTATAAGAAGTTAGCATCTAGCTATTCTATATAGATAATGAGTGAATATCTTCTCTTATTTCATAAGTGAGAATAGCTGAAGTGATATCTCAGCAGTGTCTTACTATTAAGAAAAAGTAATCTACTAATCTTATATAGAAGTGAGATTCTCATATTTATTAATTAAATCTTTCTATGATATATCTGAATGATGTCATAGAGTGATTGAAAACTGGTTTGAATAATCTGTAAGATAAATGAAATTATTCATATAAAAGTAATGAGCTGTGTGAAACTGTAGTAGAGTCTTGATATAGCTGAGAGTATGATAATACTCTTCTCTTTAAGAGTATAGTCTCTATACTCTTAAGATTACTGAATTAGAAATTATCTTTGTTATATAGCAATAGTTATCAACTGATTAATAGTATGTATACTGTATATAATATAAAGAAATAGATGAGTTTTTCTACTGACTGTGTAGATCTTTCTTTTCTCATCTTTGTTTAAATCAAATATGTGATAAATGAGTTTCTTATATATTAATTTGAAATGTGAAAAATGTAGTTAATAAATGACTTACAGATCTTTTAATATATTTCATTCTATATATAAAATTCTCTGTAAAAGTGGTGTGTTTTAGAGACAAAGTTAACAGTAGTAGTAGAATTTTCTCAAAAAGAACTTCTCTCTCTGTGACACATTTTTCTTTCTCTCTTCTCATCTGCAATAGTGAGTGCATAAGAGTATCATTCTTGAAGAACAGTAGAGAGCTTATTCTGATATTTTCTAGTGAGTAAATGTCTTTGTGATGCAGCTGCAGCCTCTTGTAAGAATAAGTACTCGCGGCGATTATTCAGGTGTTTGCAGCTTGGCGTGATATGTACTGTTAACTACTAGAAGTGTTCACAGTAGAAAGATAAATGTAGAGATCAAGTGTATAATAGCATTCAAGCTGAGTTATGAATAGTATTCATGAACTCCAGTCTATATAGTTGTGTGTAGCCAAGAGCCGCTAGCTCTATTGATTACATGAGAGATAGGAATAGGGGTAAAGAATCTGTGAGAAGTGAGATTTCTTACATATCCCCCCCTCTCTAAGACTTCATCTGTGAAGCCTTTCACTGAGTGACTTCATAGTCAGCTCAGCACTGCAGTGATACTCACTAAAAATCCTTCACATCTGTAAAAAACCTCAGTGAGGAAAAATCTCTTGTTATCATGAAGAGAAAAGAGTCTGTCACTCAGTTTCTTATTCTGTGAGATTCTTTGTGATCTACAGATTCTTCTCTGACTATCACACAGATTCATCTCATATCTTTCATACAGAAGAGTTTCAGTTGACTCTCAATCATTTTCACAAGATTCTTGTGTAATCATCACACAGATTCATCTCACAGATGAATCACTCTCTGTGAGATCATTCTTATCAAAGAGAAATATTTGTAAGTTAATCTTTCATTCATTCTTGCAAATCATTGCTCTTTGACACTGTAGAATTGTGAGGAATTTTTCATTCTTTCATCAACTCTGTAGAATTGTAGAATCAAGATGTTCACAGTCTATAATCACTCTTTATAGTCATATAGAAAGATCCAGGCCTGTGATTCACAATCACTCTTGTTTACTAGAGTGATCTGACTGTTCTGCAGAATCACTCACAGTGTAAGTAAACCTCTCTAGAGTAGTATAAATATCTCAGATCTGTCTGCAGAATCTCATCTTCTTTTTCCTTTTTCTGTAACAGCTCTTATTCTTATAAACTGTGAGTATTCTCATTCATCTGTGAAGTGTTTTCACTCAGATGACAGAGAGAGAGTGTTTCTGACAATATTCACATATTAATTCAAGAACTTCTCAAGAATAAAAATTTTTTCAATTTCAACATCTTTGTAAACAATGTCTGGTCACTGCTGAGCTTCTCATGAGTGTTCTCATAACTTCTTCAATCACTTTTTACTGGCTGATGAAGCAGGGGTGCTGCTGCTTATGACTGCATCTTCATTCCTCTCAGCCCTGTCACTGCACCTGATCTTCAGGCCAGCAGCTCATCTCATCCCTTCCCCAGGCCAGTCCCTGGCTCTAAGCAGTGCAGTCTCTTCCTTTGCTGTAAGTCTTCTCATAAGTAATTCCTTACAGACTCTAGCTGACAGTTCTTGTGAAGCTCTCAGTGTTATCAGTGTCTCCTGCAGTTCCACAGGCCTATGATCACCCTCTCTCTGCCTGCACAATCTCTGACCAGACATATGTGAATATGCCTAGATTTCCTATCAATGATTCTCGCGCCGCGGCGCATTTCCGCAATCTCATTGTCAATAAGAGATGAGTTCTCAGGTACCCGCAAAATCCAGGTAGTCAAGGCAATGCAAATGCCATGAATTTGCAATGAGAGTTGATCTGGGCAGATGAGCCTTCTCTTCACATTCTCATTATTTTCAGACTGAATACTTCAGCATAACTGAGAGAGTGAACACAGCTTTGTGAGAAATATCTGATCACATGCACAGATAATCAGTCTTCAAGATTCTGCTGCAACTGCATGCATTCTGGTGTTCAGCTTCTCTGAAGTCTGTGCATTTCTGACAGTCTTCACATCAAATGTAACAATTGTCTGTACTATAGACATGATACTCTCTACTTCTTTGAAGAGAGAAATTAGTAGTTATAAAGAAATTAAGTGTCACAGATATTGATAATGTAAGTGTGAATTTTCTTTATTTTTTCTTTATTAATCTCTAAATTGCATTCATGACCCTGTTTATTTTCTTGTTTTTTAGCTTTAATAAGAACATGTTTTCTTCTTCTCTTGTATACATCACAGACTGTTCATCTCAGTAGAAACTCATCATCTTATAGACTAGGATTTATAAATGACAGTGTTAATGTCTTTATTATAACCAGGTTCTTAGTGAAGACTGCATCATTCTGACTTGTCAGAATTCACAGTATGAAAGTCATGTCTCAGCTTCTGCAGATGTCTTATCTGTTCAGATGATTCTCAAGTGAACTCATTCATCTTGTCAGAATATTCTTATCACTGAACCTTGAATCAGAGCTTGCAATCTTGCTTCTCTGAGTTAATAATTCCTTTAACCTGATATTCTCTTTCACTCTCTAGTACTTTGCAGATAGAGTGATGAGTTACAGAGTTCTCTTCTGAGAATTCCTTATATTCACAGAGCAAAGAGACATGAAAAACATTGTACATCTGCAACTCAGATAACAGTTTCAATCTGTAGAACTATGAGCTAACTTTCTTCATAATCTTACAAGACTCTGTCTGTAAGAGATTCAGCTTCTTGCTAGATCTTCATATGATGATGTTTTCTAGACTTAGTCAGACTCTATCATCTTTCTTGAAACTCTTTGCAATGTGCTTGAAGTCATAGTATCTCTTCTGATACTCTTAAGCCTTTCTCAAGAATTCACAGGCTTTCTCTCAGATCTTCTGAATTCTCTCAGCCTGTTCACAGACATCATCACACTCTATAGTATACTCTCACAGGTTTATTAAGATCATCTGTGAATAAGTTTCAGTGAGCATCTCAAAGAGGGTTTTATCTGTGCTGACATGCTTTGAGTTGTTGTATATAAACTCTGTGAGTGATAATCAATACACTCAGTCATTCTAATTGTAATTGACAAAGCACTGCAGATACTGTTTTAATATACTCATCAGGCATTCTATCTGATCATCTGTCTGTTGATGAAAAGCTGTGCTTAGATCTTATGAGATCTTCAGTATAGTCATCAGATCAGATCAGAACTCTTCTACAAAGATTGATTCTCTGTCTGAGACAATGTTCACAGACAACTTATGCAACTGAATCACATCACAGACAAAGATATGAGTCAAATTCTTTGACTTCAAGTTCTTGTGAGTGGATATAAAGTGTGTCATCTTGATAAAGCAATTCACTATCATCAGCACACTGTCAAAACAGGTATCATATATGTCCTTGCTTTCAGAGAGACTCACAAGAACATTCATTTCTAGCTATTCTCAAGATTTCTGTGAAATGAGTAGAGGAGTAAGTTCTTTATATGATCTGAACCACACTATCTATGAACTCTGATAAACAGTATAAGAATTCACTATCTTCTTCACAAGTTCTTGCATCTTCAGTCAGAAGTATTTTCTTATAAGCAGCTCATGAGTTCTAGTGTCTGCAAAATAACTCACTAGAGAAGAGTTATAATATCTTTTAATAAGTTCTACACATAGAAACTCATTTGCAGGCACATAAATTCAGCCCTCTCTTTGCAAGAGGTCATTTAAGTCTCTTCAATTCTTTATTTCTGCAGGATTAATCCCTGCTGTGAGCAGTTTCTGAATATACTGAGTATATTCATTCTTCAGTTGCAGTTCAGACAATCTGAATAGAAGACCTTGTGAAGACTTATGCTCTGTTTCCTCTTACACCAGGTCTTCTGTGATGCTTCTCAAAGTCTGTAAATTCTTCAGATTATAGATACTCTCTTCAAGAATTCTCACAGAGATTCTCAGAGTGTTGACTCTCAGTATTATAGAGAGTAGTTATGCAGGCTTCTTTCCTCTCTCTTTCTTCTTCTCTTACAGAGAATTGAGAGACTCTTCAGTTAATCTCTTTATAACACTCAGTCTGAGCATTCTGTAAAGCTTTTCTATCTTCTCTAGTCTCTCTGTGTCTGTCACCCTGGCCTTCTTAATATAGTCTGGCCTGTGAGAGAGTTCATTCACTGAGTTCTTAGTTCTCTTGATATATTCTATCTTGAATCAGAACTCACTCAGTCTCTGAGTTCAGTAAATCTGCTACTGTGAGAGTTCCTTGATTGAAGTAAACTGTCACAAGCTGTCATGATCAGTTCTAACAGTAATCACTGTCATGAGGCCCTCAAAGTAGTGACATCAGTGATGAAAGGATTTCACTATCATAAGAAGCTTCTGATCATGAATATCATAGTTGATCTCTGTGAGTTGCATCTTCTGTGAGAAAAAGGCCACTGAAACCCAGTTCTCATTTGACTGTAGTTGTAAGACTATTTCTGAAATCACAAAGAAGAAGACATCTGTCTTCAATCTAGTTAAGAGCAAGAGATCAAAGTGAAATAGTATCACTGTATTTATAAATATCTATTTCAATCTTATAAAGACTCTGTGAGCTTCTGAGATAAGAAAGTTCTCACAGTTCTCTCTTCTTAATAATCTTTTCATTCTTCATTCACAGAATGACTTCTTCTTATTTTCACTCTTCAGCATGTCTGTAAGAATCAAGAAGATTCTCATGAATGCAAAGATAAATTATCTATAGAAATTCACAAAGTTCAGAAAGATCTGAATCTCATGAATACTAGTTGACTTCAGTCATGATAGAATAGTCTCAATCTGTGAAGATTTCATCTGAATATCATCCACAGTGATTACATATTCTAGGAAATTAATTCAGCAGGCACTGAAGTTGCATTTCATAAGCTTAATATACAGTTCTGCCTCATCTAAGGCCTTCAACATGCTTTGCACATGCTCAGTGTGTTCTTTCTTCTTCATGAAGTACATCATCACATCATTCAGATATATTATTATGAAGACATTCAGATATGCATAAAGTGTTTTATTGATGAAAGACTGAAATGCTGCAGGAATATTAGTCAGATCAAAAGATATTACTAGATATTCAAATAATCTCAGTGCAGTTCTAAAGACAGTCTTTCATTCATTCTCAGACTGTATTTGTAGCTGTGTATATGCATTGATCACATTCAGTTGTATGAATATGACAGCTTCTGTGAGACAGTTGATCACATTCTCAATCAGAGACAGAGAGTAGCAGCTCTTTATTATCTTGAAGTTCAGATTATGATAGTCTACACACAATCTGAGATCTTTATTCTTCTTCTTCATGAATATCACAGAGGCTCCTGCAGAGGCCTGTGAAGATCAGATAAAGTCATTCTTCAGATTCTTCTTTACATAGGTTCACAAGGCCTCTGTCTTATGATAAAAGAGCTTATAGATTGATTCTCAGAAGAGTTTCTGCTCTTCTATCAAATCTATTATCAGATTCTTCTCACAGTGAGAAGAAAGCTCAGCTGCCTTAGCTGAGCTGAACATCTCTGTGAGATCTTGATATTTCTCTGATATCTGAAGCTCAGTTTTCATGACTGTGAGATTCTCAGACACTCACAAAGTTATCATATAGATAAGCTTATCTCCTCTAATCAACTCTGCAGCATTAACTGCTTCTACCTCTGTGAGTGAGTCTGCCAACACTGATTGAAAGTATAAACCTGACTCACAGACAGCTATGTGTGAATTGTGTCTTTGAAGTTATGCAAGTCTCAAATACATGTTATCTGTGATGTCTGTGATAATCACAGTTTCTGCAAATCTTCTTCAGATTTCAGAGAGATCTTGTAATTCAAAGATAACTCTTATGAGTCTCTCAGCTCTCAGGTCTGAGTTCTCACACTCTGCTTATTGTAAGAGCAGGTTCTCAGTCTTCATCTTTCAGCTCATTTGCTCTGTGAGCTTTAGAAACATCACAGTGACCTGGGATCCTGAGTTCATTAATACTTTTCATACTTGTGAGACAGCAGTACTGCAGTGCAGTCTCTCTCTGTGAGTAAGCATTTTCATTAAGAGAGTAACAGATTCAGATGTCAGCTTCAAGATTCTTAAGAAGACTGTTGCTGACTCTGTCTGTGACTCTTCAAATTCCTATTTTGATTTGTCTGAACAGTTTGTATGAAGATATTCTGATTTAGAACAGATAAAGCAGAGTCTCTTTTTCTTAATCTCTCTGTTGTACACTCTGTTCACAGAAGCTTATGAAGCTCTCTCTCTCTGCTCAGCAGTCAGATGCAAATCTCTCTGTGTCTTATCATCTTTTCCTGATAAATCTGTCCTCTGTTGTTCTGACTCTTACAGAGCTGGTTGATGATCTGCTCTTTATAAGTCTGTAACTCTCACAGTGATCTGTAAGTGATGAATGAAAGTCATCAGTTTCTCCAGAGTCAAGAGCTTAGAGCCTTGCTCAATGAGCTTGTCCTGCATGTCTTTATCCAGTCTCTTCACAAACATCATCATTCAGGTCTTGTTTCAGGGCCCTGTTTCCACAGATCTCAATTCACATCATAATTCCATGAAGTGCTGTGAGTAGTCTTTATCAGATTTCTCACCTCTTTTTCTAATATTGATGATTACAGCCCAGGTGTTCTCTGTTCAGCTTGTAAAGTCTCTCAACTTATTCTCTAGATAGATCTTGAGAACAGATCATCAGAATCTCTCATGATCATTCTCTAGATAATTCAGCCAGTTCTTGACTTCAGTGTAATAGAGGCCTGTTATCACATAGATGACAGCTTCTTCATCTTTCATGTCACACAGCTGGGCTTGTAAGTCAATTTCAAATACAAACTCACAAAAGCTTTTATAGATTGTGATTTGATAGATGGCCTTAAGTGATCACAGCTTGAGGAAGTTTCTTTTCAGTTTATAAGTGTCTCTGAAGATCATGTCTAGAGACTCAGTTCAAGGGTGTTTGCAGGCAGTAAGCATTTCTTGTAGAAAAATAGCTTGATCTCACAGGAGATGCTCAAGAATGTTCTTCACTGAGATTGATTCATTCATGGGTTCAGAGGGTTCCTCTGTCACAGATGCAGAGAATGATGTTCTGTGAGTGATTGATAAGTCCTCTGAGACTTCTTTTATGGAGGTTATTCATGGTTCGGGTGGCTGCTCCTGAGTGTCTGCAGTAGAGTTCACAGGGATTGAAGCATGCAAGTTTCTAGTTCTTTCAGTCATAACAGGCAGTTGCTGACTGACTGAGCTTGAAATGTAAGAATAAGTGCTCACAGCAATTATTCAGGTGTTTGCAGCTTGACATGATATGTACTGTTAACTACTAGAAGTGTTCACAGTAGAAAGATAAATGTAGGGGTCAAGTGTATAATAGTATTCAAGCTGAGTTGTAAATAGTATTCGCGAACTCCAGTCTATATAGTTGTGTGTAGCCAAGGGCCGCTAG